TCTGGGATTAGATTTTCTGCTTCAGAACAGTGTAAATTCAATATTCACAGGCTACCTGAATTTCATGTGTTCTGATATGAATATCTGCAACATGCAGAATGAAAACCTTGATGTGCAATGTCACCAAAACAGAACTCTCTGATTTTATTTGGTAAAAGTCTTGTATTTGACACAGTACCCTGTGTATAGCATTGGACTTTGATTTTATCTACTTGCTGTCATCACAAACCAGGTCGTTTTACAGCAGAATTCCCTAGGCACACCAGGCAAATTGGCTCACACAAAGCTGTTTCATGTGAGCTTAGCTGGATCAGCATGGTACTGACACTGTATTTTTCCTGTGCATAAAACATATTCCCATTGATGGATATCCTTCCTTTTCCTGATCTATATAACCATTTTTAGTATTTTGATTAGCCTGAATCTCTCTGTAGACCAGAGCACTAGTCCCATAGCTATGTGCACCTCTCCTTATGAGATTTTTTGACTCTTAAATGACTCAAATAATGGACTTTTTTTTCAAAGCTCCTCTAGCCTATCTAGACCTCTAGCTCTAGATATCTGATATTTTTTTCTCCCAGAACTTAGTAAAACAACACCAGTAAATATGACAGGAGGTTAATTCATGCAACCATGTTTATAAAACAGTTCAGCAGAAGTTGAGAAAACAACAGAAATTTAAGCTGGACCATCACCATCCCTTGCAGATCAGGTTTCAAAAGATGAGGCTGCTTTTGCTCTGAGCTCTAGCTCAAAATAATTAGTGGGCAGTGTAAATACAAGTGTTATGGAAGGTTGAACATTGTGTACAATTAATTATTCTTTGTTTTTCCTTTGAACCTTTTCAAGCATCCACAGTTGTTCTCACATTCATGCAGGAAAATGAGCAATGTTTTCTCTTTTGAGACGTCTAAGCCTTTTTAAAATTCTATACATAAAGTCATAATTTTACATATCTCTATTTTTCCTTCTTAAATCTTATTTTGCCAAGTAAAATTAACTGAAAACCAAGCATTTCTGATCAAAAGGAAAAGTATTTCTGTTTCTAAGGAAGCTGCATTAGGGTACATTTTTGAAGTAATGCATGACCAACTTTTTTGCTTATCAGAATGGAAATAAGCAACAACAATAAACAAGCATTCACCAAAGCTGAGCACAACATAACATCAACAGCTTCATATTCCATTCCAAATCAAGGGTTTTCAGTTTTCAGATGATGCCCATGCTACCACAGATATGCAAAATAAGCATGGTCATAAAAAAAGTGTGCTTGCGTAAGACAGTCTATAATATGATGGCATGTGAATTTAACATTATATATCTAATGCTTCCAATATTTTTGAACAAGTTTTGCCATCAATGTTTTTACCCTGAATGGCACTGCTTAGTTGCTGGCTGTGTCTCCATACTTTGTTTACTTTATGTATGACCAGATGATGTGTGCACCATTACCTGAATGAGATGCTACTTTAAGAAGGATGCTTTCTTTCTATTTCAGGATGCTTTCTGTCTCTGTAGCACATTTTCCTCTAGTGCCTGATACTGATTAACTGCATAAAGAGCTTTCCATGTGCATGTTCTTGCAATTCTGTATGGTTCTCAGAAGTCTCTGTGGTCTCTTTATCCCTGTTAGTTTTTCCAACAGACTCAGCATAGAAACAGACAGAATTAAATCTGTGTCCTTCAGTGTGACCCAGAGATAACAAGGTGGACTCTTCCACCATCTCACTAAGAGGATAGTGCAGAAGGGATGTCAAAAAATGCTTGTGACAGCTCATACTGGAGTTTCCTTTTATTTATGGGTATTCATGCCTTGTCATTGTGTGCAACACAGTTGGGAATCAAGAAAAATCATCATGAAGTGGAATGGGTGGAATTTAGCAGCTTTTCACTAATGCTCTGATAAATACCCTGTAATAAGTGGGGAACTAGGCCTGGAGGGGAAGACGTACGAGGAACGGCTGAGGGCACTGGGCCTGTTCAGCCTGGAGAAGAGGAGGCTGAGGGGAGACCTCATCGCAGTCTACAACTTCCTCGTAAGGGGGTGTCGAGAGGCAGGAGACCTTTTCTCCATTAACACCAGCGACAGGACCCGCGGGAACGGGGTTAAGCTGAGGCAGGGGAAGTTTAGGCTTGACATCAGGAGGAAGTTCTTCACAGAGAGAGTGGTTGCACACTGGAACGGGCTCCCCAGGGAAGTGGTCACTGCACCGAGCCTGACTGAATTTAAGAAGAGATTGGACTGTGCGCTTAGTCACATGGTCTGAACTTTTGGGTAGACCTGTGCGGTGTCAAGAGTTGGACTTGATGATCCTTAAGGGTCCCTTCCAACTCAGGATATTCTATGATTCTATGATTCTAACTAGAGTATATTGAGTGAGGTCAGCATCATAAGTGTATGAAAGTGTCCTGTTCTAGACAAACTAGCATGTGATGCATACCTGGAGCATCACTTACCTTCCTATCCAAGACCTGGCAGGCCACAGAATAGTGCGAGCAGCCTCTGGTTGAGAGCCCTGGTCTATTACCTAGGCTGTTGTCAAGATTAGGTTTGCTAGCTTAGGATAAAAGAAGGTGATATAAATAGACACTGGTAATGGAGAATTGCCATACAACTTTCCTTTGTGGTTTGAGGAGAAAATTAAGATAAATGTGTGTGCTTGCAGTCACTGCAATGCTTGCAGCTCATAGATCTGGGTGGTATGATCTCTTTACTGAATTAGAGAGACTCCATCACTGTACCATATTTCTGCATTTGCTTCCTGCAGCAGGAAGTTTTTTAACTCAGCATTCAGCAAGACAGAGCATAGGAGGGATGTTTCAGCTCTAATGGGTTGAAAATATCATGCTGCTGTGTCTATTTCATGCTAGAAGTTTTGCAAAGGAAAACATTAATATAATAATTCACTCTACTGTTGTCATCAATTTGTTCTTTCTCAGTCAATTGTGTATGTGTGGTTCACACTTGTTTATTTGAATTATTTCTAAGCTCTCCAAAGTTTGTATTTGCTTTTAGAACTAAGATCAAATATCTTTATACAAATAAAATTAGCCATTCAGTGTGTGAAATTTTGCCTCGGTGTCATTTGCTAATACGCACAACAAAGACCTAAGGATGTGGAAAAAGCACACTTCTAAGTTCTGAATCACACCGTTTGGATTTGGACTATTTGGGAAAAAACAGAGCCACTGTGAAGCTCTTCTGGGTTGAATACAAAAAGTAAAAATAATCCAAACTTCTTGTGTAGCTATTATTCTGAAAATATTAGTAAAGTTTTTTTCAGTGCTACAGTGATTTTCATCTTGAATCATCTTTATGGATGTTAAATAATTAATTGTCATTGCAATCATGATTTAATATCTTCTTCCTTCTGTCACTGGGCAAACTGAGGCCCCATGGGCATTCCCACTCTCCCTGTCGTTTCTTCAGGCTCCTCTTTGTTTGCCCAGATTGCTTATTAAAGTCACCCTTTGTTAAAGATCAAGGTGTTGCAAGATCAATACTAGATTATGTTCTTTGCTATTAGCCTGAGTAGCTTTTTCTATTTCCTAGAACTTCCTAATGTACCATTTGACAGAGGTCATCCTTTTGCTGAATAATCCAGCGGCATGCCTAATTTGCTATCAAGAAGCAGTGAGCTAAAAGTAAAAATCATTGCTAAGATAGAGCTGAGAAAACTTTGTTCACCTTTGTCACCTCCGCATCAGAAATACTGGCAAATGGGAGAAGAGTGAGGGTCAAAAAAGGGGTTAAAGGCCTGAGGTGACTGATACAGGTTGTGAAAAAAAGGAAATAAGAACATGAATACATTTTCAAGGTTTTCTAATTAAAACAGGCTGATTTTTTTAGGTCCATGTTGCAACAACCACCAGATGAGCTAGAGACAAAATTCTCCAGATGTTCCTTTGTGTTACTTCATTTTAACTCAGTAAATTTCAGCCAAGAAATAAAAATCTATGTTTTATTCACTGACATGGCAACAAGTCACAGGTTTTATCAGTCAGTAGCAGCTGAGTAGGAACCCGTCAGAGTTAGGCTTACATTGAGTGTTTCAAAGTTGGGCCAATTTCCTTTTGCTGACTTGTTAGAAATAAGTATTTTTAAAATCTGTATAAATCAATAATAAAAGTCGATCCACAGAGTAATCTACAGTTACTTGTAAGGCAGAAACACAAAGAAGCTGCAGAAATTTTTACAAATGATATAATTTAGTTTAGGCTCGTTGTTCTTCCAGAGACTCAAAAAACAACCACATTACGAATAGATAGAGCTGCACTTCAAGGCTGGAACCTAAATACATTGTTTGCTTTTGAATATTGTTTCCAGTCCTGTGTAATAGAAATTACCCAGGGCACTGCCATCTCTTTTGTCCTTGTATTATCATTTTAGGTAGGAAATTGCCAAGTAGGACACTTGTGTAGATTATGTAATTTTGGCCCAGTCATAAATAGGACAAATGGAGGAGTTCCTTTTACAGCGTTCTTCATTATAACTTTTTCTGTCCATGTTGTTCTGGCTGGGGAGATATGTGCTTTCATTATTCACCAGTTTTTTGGTTTTGTTTTTGTTTTATTATTATTTTTCCTTCAAAATCTTTGTGTTTCTTCTCTGTACCTTATAAAGGCTCATATGTTTACACAGAATTATATATGAATGAAATCTAGACCTCAGAAACAAAGGAATACTCTTTATTATGAAAAACAGCTTTCTTTTAGGGACCACGCCATTTCTCATCATGTTGCATTGCCTTGGTGTTTCATGTCTCTTGCAAGAAGAGATTTAGTCCCTGAAGCAAAATCAAACCTATGTTTTCTAAAAATCTCATCCAGGTTCACCTGACTCCTGCTTCACCTTTTGCTTTACCTGCCAGTGTGCATTTGCAGCATGGCTTGCTGACTTCTGCGCCCTCTTGCTGGGGCTTCGCCTGACCCTCGGGGCAGGGAGCTTTGGGGGAACGTATCTCGTATCATGGGTAAATAGCTTTTCTCTCTCTTTGCAGGGATATGTAGTTGATGAACATGCAGCCAGGCAAGCCCGATGGGAAGAGGCATCTAGAGAAACGATCAAGAAAACAACCAAGCCATGCCCCAACTGCCATATTCCAGTAGAAAAAAATGGTAAATTTATTAGATACCTGGTATTTACCTGTCTTGTAAAATTAATTTTACAGTATAAATATATAAATGTGCATGTGTACATATGCATGCTATTATCCCAAGAGAGGGAGGGCACATAGTACTTGAATCTTCCTTCTGACACTGTCTAAATTATCTTGAAATCACCAAATCTAAATCACTTAGTTCCAGAGCCACTAACCCAGCCTCACAAAGCACTCAGCTGTCCCCTTGATAGACAGGGAAAAAGAGGCATAGAGAAACACTGGGTGTTGAATTCATATGACTGAATGTCCAGTTAGTTGTACGGATTTTGCATTAACAATGGAAAAAGTAGACATTTATAGGGCAAAATTCATCTCTCACTGAAACAAGATGTGTCTAATTTAGGCCAGAAGAATCACACCTAAAAGCGGGATGTAGGAAAAATAGAGCTGGTGTAGATATCTGAACAGTATACAGCTGAATTTAAATGAAATGAATCTTAACCCAGTGAAATGTCAATTGCAGAAGAGCAAGTCAGAGGAAGAATTACAATTCTTGACAAACTTCTTACACTGATCAATGCCTACTATGTAGGAAGAAAAGTAATCTGTTGGCACCAGGGTGACTAAAACAAGGAACAAGAACAACAAATAAGCTATGTCCTGTAGTACATGCTGTTCCAAGGTTTAATTGTATTAATGTGAATTAACCAAAATATTCTAAAATGTTTGCCTAAATATTATATGAATATAAAGTATAGAGGATGCTTCTCAGTTTTGTGGCATCGGTTATACAAATGACTTTGAAAATGCTGAATAAGACACCATGAACTGTAAGGTGAAAACATTTGAAGCAGTGATACTATGGAAATACTACTAAGGAAGAAAGAGGACAAAATCCTGAAATCTGTGGTTTGAAGAAAGAAAAGAAGGGTAGCTGGCAGATGGAAAGTGGGAGACTTCAAGCACAAGGACCTGAAGGGATGAAAGCATGAATTCAAGAGTGGGAAGGAGAGACAAGATTTGGCAAAGTGTAGAGAGCAAGGTAGGCAGCAAAAGAGAGAGAACGGAGAGGTAGGTCAAAAAAAGTTATTTACAGGCTTGGAAAACAGGGTGGAAAACCAGAAGGTTGAACTGGATCACAAATAGTCCTTGCAACTGTTCATACTTATGGTCTGTGCATACACAAATGAAAAACCTGGCCAGGCTGGAAGCCCTGCTAGGAGTTTTACTTTCTTTTACTCAGCGCAGTTTTATTGTTAATTTACCGTTGTCACGTGTCATAAATAGCATATCCCTATTTGACATCATGTGATAATTTATACAACTCCAACTAAGAAAATTGCTTGTAAAAATCACCAACATATCCAAAAAAGAAATAAAAGCCATCATACTTTTTTTCATGGAAGAAAATAATTATTCAAAAGGAATAGCTAGCAGGAACAGACCTTTCCTTTCTAATGGCCTGACCCATGTCAGAGTAGTGACTCATCATGCAAAATGCTAAAGCTACAGCAGCAGGCTAGAAATGTTTCCATGTTCTGGAACCAGATGGTCATGCTGCCATTCAGAAGGACCTTGGGAAATGGGCTGAGAGGAACCTCATGAAATTCAACACAGGTAAATTCAAAGGTCCTGAGCCTGGGGAGAAATAACCCCAAAACAGGCTGGGGTAATACCTGATGGGGGAATAAAGAAGACAAAGTCAGACTCTTCTCAGTAGCATCTGGTGAAAGGACAAGGGGCAATGCACCCAAACCCAAATGCAGGAACACAAGAAAACATTTTTCGCCTTGGGGATAGTTGAAGACTGGAACAGGTTGCTCAAAGAGGTTGTGGAATCCCCATTCCAGGAAATATTCAAAACCTGACTGGACGTGACCCTGAGCAGCCTACTTTAGCTGACCCTTCTTTAAGCACAGGCAGTTGATGATCTCCAGTGGTCCCTTCCTACCCCAGCAATTCTGTGATTCTGCAAAATAAGGCATGAAGCTTGAAGGGTGCAGTGCTTGCTGTCTTCTCTGGTAACTGGTACTGCACATTTCAGCTTGTAGGCTGACATTTTTAAACTGCCTACAGCCCATTGTTCCTCATTGTAACAATACTGTAGATTTATACTGATGACATGTTCCACTGAGTCAAATGATAAAAAGGCACCTGAAGTCTTTTAACAAAACAACTTTGTTTATTGCATTCTATGAAAATATATGCCAATTTAAAATATTGATATGCAAAAGGAAATGACATCTCAGCAGCATTTATTTTATTTGTGCTACTCAACAAGTTTTAGTAATGCTGGAAATCTCTTTGGATAAAGATCTATATTCTACTCTACTACACAAATAATAGCTTTTCAAACCACCGCTTACAAATTAAATCTGTATCCTGCTGGTTAGTGAAAACTTCTGAACAAGTATTAACAAAAATTATTAATGCCCTTGAGAAGTCAAACTGTCAGACTTGCTGCAAACTGCAATAGTGTGCCTGCTTCTCTGAAAACACAGAAAGCCAGGAGGTCCTTGAGGAGCCTGGTTGCTGGGATTATGTGGTTCCCTTGTCAGTCTAGAACTGATCAGAACAGGTATATCAGTGCTCTGGAGAAATGGTGCTTACAGAAGGCGTTCAGGGAATAATCATCACACCAAACAGTTTAGTCTCATCTGGAGTCAGATGGCCTTCAGGCTGTACTGAAAAACCTCCTCTTTCTGTACCTCAACTGTTCAACTAGAATAACCTGAAACGAATACCTTTATGGTATCTCCTATCTCCCTTCAAACATGACGGTGCGGGTAGGGAAAAAAGCAGAAGGGCTGCAGAAACATCATGCTGTAGGTTTAATTTGTGGTACCAGGACAGCACACAGCACCTGCTTCAATAAATGGGCTCTCCCATGGTAGACTGTAGGCACAACTGAGCAGTCCATGCCCAGAGCGATGAGCTGGAGTGGCCTGCTGCCAGCATGGTGATGCCCAGCTGCCCTGAGAGCCTGGGTGACTCTAAAGTTCCCCAAGCATCTTCTTCTTCCCTATGACTTCCCACCTCAGTGGTCCCATGAATTAAAGCATGAAGCTTTAAAGGCACAGTGCTTGCTTTCTTCTCTGGTAAAGGGTACTGCATGTTCCAGCCTCTAGGCCGACTTTTGTAAACTGAGAGGAGCACTTCACTTCTGCCTAAGTACAGCTGGTGTCAAGAGGCTGATGATTGTACACTGAAATCTGCCAGCCGGCCTCATCTGTGTCTCCACACAAGAGAATAACTCTGCCTTCTCTCCCCAGATGCTTCTGTGGACACTGTTACTTGCCACTTGCCACTTTTATGAGGGACAGTGATGATGCCGATAACTTTTCTGTAATTGCCTATATTCCTGTATGTCAGTAACTTTTCTCTAACAGCTTGTATTTCTATAGGCATTGTAGAGTACTTCTAAATGCCAATAACTTTTCTGTAATAGCCCAAGTGAAAGAGTGAAGCACTTTCCCACAGTTCAGTTCCCAGAATCACAGAATGGCCAAGGTTGGCAGGGACCTCTGAAGATCACCTAGTCAAACCCCTCTGCCGAGCAGGATCACCCAGAGCACATTGTGCAGGATGGCATCCAGGAGGGTTTTGAATATCTCCAGAGGAGACTCCACAACCTCTTTGTGCAGCCTGTCCCAGTGTTCTCTCACCCTCACAGTAAAGAAAAGTCCCCTTGTATTCAGATAGTAGTCTGACTGAGTTTAAATACACATCCACATCTCTCAGAGGACTGCTATGCTCATAAAGCCATGGGCCATGTTGCTTGAGGCACTCTCCACTCAGACTGTTGATTTCAGCTGCTGTGTAGCAGAGAGTAACTTCACTGATGTAGCTTTGCAGATAGAAACGTTGTTTGACAGCAGGTGCCTGTTGGGTTCTGCTTCCTGCACCAGGATTTAGATGCATTTTATCCAGTGGGGGCTTCACATGAGTTGTACATGTAAGAGAGCATTGGGTCTAAACTTTAAGTAAAGTGTGTTGCAGATGTTGGCCATTAGTACGCTTAAATTTAAATAAGGTTAAAATATCCAGTGAATTGCATCTCTTGCACAACTATATAAACTTTGCCTTGTTGAATGGGTGTTGCCATCACAACTGGTTTTCTCCCTCTGTCAGATGAAGCAGATAGGCCTATTTTAACAAATCATTTCTCGCGTCTCCTGTCGTTTTCACCTTCTGGAGTGGCATTTATAGGAAAGGTTGAGTAAGGGTAGCAAGTCGTACAGTAGGGAATGCACACTCCTTGCACATCATATCACCATCTGGAGTCAAACTGAGCTGACGTTTCAGCACTTCTTGCTACACGTTTTTCTTTCAGTTTGAATTATACAAGAGATTTCTTTGTGTGGTAAGCAACATAATTTCCATTTGAAGTACGTTTTTGTAATGACCTTTGACAATGTTAATGTTTTATATATGACAAACTAATCATTTGATCAAGGCTGTGAGCAGAGAGATTAAAGCTGTTCTCACAGTATGGGCAAGTAACAAGCCCAACACACTGGAAACACTGAGGTGATCAAAAGGCTGCTTCAGATATTAAAAAGGTCAAAGTAACTTAAATTGCTAATGTCATTTTGATATAATCAGCAGTGAGCTGTCAAAATCTGTCTCCTGATTTACTCTCTTTGCACATCTCTCGGTTGTTGAATCCAAATTCAAAAAAGAATTGAACTTTGTTCAACCTCTGCCTCACAGCTTTACTAGCATAGACTGCTCTGGAGCAGACACCTGTGTCACTGGTTTTAGAGGCCACAGGCTGTCATTGCTTTTCCCTGTCCCCAAATGTCAGACAGGACTGCACTTCCTACTTCTGCAGCCCCTCAAGTGAGACCAGCATGTTAGACCCCTGTAAGAGAGGGAATAAAAGGTTTTAGAAAGCCCGGGAGAAGTAGTGTTCAGGTTTGTACTTTTATTAAGTATTCTACTTGGTTAGTAATTGAAGGGCTACAGAAGTTGATTTTAAAACTGTTAATAGTTGATTAACATCTCTAAGTGCTTGCCAAGTACCAAAGCCCTTCTTTTGCTGTTTTGCAGGTGGCTGCATGCACATGAAGTGTCCTCGACCTCAGTGCAAGTTTGAGTGGTGCTGGAACTGTGGCCTGGAGTGGAACAGAACCTGCATGGGCGATCACTGGTTTGACTGACAGCACAGGGGCACAGGGGGCCAGCTGGCGTTGCTGCTGGAGCCTGCTTTCATCAGGGTCAATTTCTGAACTCCTTGCTTAAACAAACGTCCCGGTGGTTTCAGGAACAAAGAGTTCAGAAATTGGCCCAGTTTGTATGTTTTTGCTTGCTTGACTATGAAATCACACACAAAAAAAAAAAAAAAAAAAAAAAAAAAAAAAACACATTGAAGTAATGCCAAAGGTTTTAAATCCACTAAGTAAAAAGAGTAATTGTTTTGGTGGACAGACTTGCTCATCATCTCATCATCATACGAAAAGGGATAAATTTCACCTTTCTGAACATGTGCGGTCTGTTAGCACAATGAGCAAATAGGGTTACTATGAGGAGCTTGCTTGACACATTTAGTTAGGAACCCACAACTCTTACAAGAGAGCAGCAGCTGTGTGTGTGTATCAAGGGCTGTGGAGGATGTTCCCTGCATCAGCTACTTTTTCTTCAACCGCTCCTTTGCTCAGTCAGCCCAGTTTTTGATTTTGAGATAGTATTTCTTAACAGCTTTTCTGGCGGATGGATGGGAGACTGTGGCTCTTCAGTGTTTTTTCAGGGTTCCTTCCTAACAGACTTTCTGTAGGGGTCTTGCTTTCAAACCACATTCTCCTAAAAACAAACAGCTTTATGCCACATTTGTGCTTGAATACTTGTAACACGCGGCAAGAAATTTGGCTCTGTACTCATTACAGACTATGTTACCACTGGAGGGTTATTTCAGGGTGGATGCAATTTCAGCTCTAACCATGACTGTTGTTGCAGTGATGACTGGATCTGATTAAGCGTTGCACAAGCTGGACTCTCAGGGTTTAATTTTTGTCGTGCTTACAGCAGTACTTTGGACGTAGCATGGGGAAGCAGGAGAAGCCTTCTCAGGGGTCTTCTCTATCATCATTCTCCTAAATTTAATTAGAATACGGGTGTATTTCTGAAAATATATTCACATCTCAAACAGTGAGAGGTAGAGGGACTTCTTTCATTTTACAGTGTTAAGACAGTATGTGAAGCTTAATAGCATCTGCAAGCCTGAACAATCTTTTTGTTTTGTGTCCTCTATATTGCTGTCTTAATCTGAAATTAAATGGGTACTGAGCATATCAACATGCCATGTAAGGATTTGTACTATTCAATTTGGGGAAAAAACGCACAATAAATAAAATGGTCAAAAATTTTATCTTTGTTTTATTTCCTTTTTTTTCTTTCAACACAATATAAATAAATGAGTACAAAGATGAGTGCGTTGGATGATGCATTTCCTTGGCTGATTCAAACTACCAGCTGAGAGGCCAGCCCTTTGATTAAAACATACCCTTTGAAGAAAATAAATTCCAAGGCCATGGACTTCTTCTATCAAGCCTGAATTAGTAGTTTGTATGGTATGACTGTAGACTCCTGAAAATATGAGTATGCTTTGTATCAGTCAGTGCAGAGCAAGAATCTTGATGTACAAAGAAATCCCAGGCTCTGCAAAAAAGCCCAGTTGTTAAAAGCAGTGGAGTATTAATCTGTGTCAGCCAGAAGTCACATTAAAAATCTGAAGAAACAAAAGGATGAGGGGACGAGGTAGAAAAAATTAGAGAGCGAACTCACAGAATTTAGAAAATGCACTGGGGAAGAGAAAAAGAGTGACAATGAGAGCACAATGGCCAGTTCCTAAAGGCCACTTTCCTTTTTGGCATCAGTGAACTAAAATGTATGCAGAAGTAGCTACATTAAAGCATAGGGGTGTGATAGAATGAGCTGCACTGCAGCTCATTTAAGTACATTATCTTAATGGAGATATTTTACTGTGAGCTCTGATTATTTCATGATTTGATTTCCTGCACCTGGGTCTATTTCATAATTTATAGGGCTTGCTGCCAACAGGCTAGGGAAGAATCACCATGCATAATATTACTTTTATGCTATGTTACATGGGAGCTCCTCACTAAGTTTCCTATCTCCAAATATTTGAAATAAAAGAAGCCTGGATCTCTTCCCCTTTTTGTTCAGAGGCTTCCTAAAAGAGGAAGAAAAACTTGTTCTCTGTAAGGCAGTTTCACTGAGTTAGACCTAGCCCTAACAAGTTAATATTTCAATTGTCACGTAGAAACATAATTTATGCCCCTGGATCAAGGTCCATTGAAGTCAATGGACTATAGATCAGCTCCTGTATTTCTTTCTGGCCCAGTCAGGGCATGGCTGGGCATGAGTCATAAGGCCAGAACAGAAACATCTCTTTCTTGGGAAGAATTTGTCAGAGCACGGGGTTATGGACATTTATCTAAAACATAAACAAGGGCAAGAAAGGGGAATAAAGAAAGGGATTCCAGCACAGACTCAAGTTTATTCACTTTTAGAGGCTAACTTTATAGCCCTTTGCCACATAGAGCTTCTTCGCACACCCCAGACTTTCACCCTGCAATTCCACATCTCCCTGCCAAAAAAGAGTGGCTCCTGCAGATTTTAACAGAACACATCAGAACACATCCTGATTTTCTCTGTATTAATACATATACATCTGTGTCTGTATATACACACACAGCTTAATGGTGCAGCCTGTAAACCTGATTTCTGTTTGCAGTAAGATTAATTCTAATAGCTTTCACAGTGTACGGGGTATGAAAAATTGGGATTAATGCTCTGCTGACACTGTAAGAATGCTAGAATCCTTACAGAAATGTGTGAAGTAGATCTAAAATTTCCTGAATTTTTTTTAATGAACAAAATGCCTTTAAAAACCTAAAATATTTTTGTTTGTTTGTTTTGTTTTTAAAGCTCATTAAAACTGTACTTTGAAACAAAGTAAAACGTACCAAATGAAGTCTTCAGTATCTGTGCAGACTGTTACTCTTGTTTCAGCTCTGAGCTATCAGGGTGGGATTCATCTCATCAGCCTTAGCCATCTAGTTGGTGCAGCAGCCTCCAAGGCTTGTGGATCTGTCATGTGGATAGGGGATCTGCTGACATGTGGATAGGGGGGCCTGGTGATTTTTTGGTCGTGGCCTGAGGTGCGATGGTAAAGTTCCTGCTGGGGCCTGCAGCTCCCGACATAGGAGCAGGACTGTGGCACTCCCCCATGCTCCTGGCTCTGCCATTGGCACGGAGGAGTGGGGAGGTGAGGGGGCCTTTTCTTAAAACTTATAAACTGGCATTGTTTGCCAGCATCCATGAAGTCAGCCTTGGCAAATACCCTCTTTGGTGGGGCACTCATGTCTCTGGAAGTACTCCTGGCAGCACGGGGTGATGAAGAGAAGCAGGACTTGAGCACAAAACAAGAGGCAATCTGAGGGCTTAAGCAGATGCAGAGGTTTCAAGAGCTTGTGGGTTGTTGCTCCCCACTAGCAATTCACTCTGGAAACACTAAAATTTCATGTGGAAAGAAGATGATTTACTACAGTGATGTAAAGGAAAAAAGAAGTCCATATCTTTTCACATCTAGGTTTGCCTTTGTTGATTGAGGTCTCTACCTCAAACCTTCTTCATCTTTTGGATTAAAACAATTAAAGACTTGTTCTTGGTGCTGCAATCCATGCTCCATTTAGTGTGTGTTAAATGAATTAAGTACAGGATGTATGCTGAAATATTCAATAATAATTATCTCTATAATAATTCAGCTCTATAACAACAAAGAAAATCTCTAATATTTAATTCCAGCTGGCAGTGAAATCTGAAGACCGAGTAGATTAAGAAGAAAATATGTAACAGCTTGGCTCCCTAAGGACAAAGCATATCTCAAAGCTTAGCATAAATAATATTTTTGGAGCCGTGACTTTGACTAAAATATGATTTGTATGTCTGCCCTTATTTTCCACAAACTGCAGTCCAACTAATTTCATTTAAAAATGTAAACTTTAAAAATAAATCAGTAAATGGCACCTCAGAAAAAGCATTACACCACTATTGGGAAAGAAAAGTCACACTCTCAAAGGACAATTAAGTAGTGGGTTTTGCCTTTTGCAGATGAATACTGAACTACCGTCTGTAGTGCAAAGCAGTAATGATAACAATGCTTTTTGCTTACAGATCCTTCATGTGGACTGAAGTAAAGTTGCATTTGTAGAGGAAAACCTGAGGCATGTAGAGGTGATAGGCCCAGTCCCAAGAGCTGCTGCTGCCCTGGAAGGCTGGGAAGATTTAGCCCTCTGTGCCAAATGTCACACTTTGAGGCAACAACAGCAGCTGCTATGTCCCTCCTGTTCATTGTACCACTCTAAGTGCTATACTAGTAAATCACTGGATAGAGTAAGCTTAATAAGCAACACTTGTATCAAGATAGAGCACGCTGTCAGCTCTGAAGAGAGTTTGTTCAGCAACTTTACTTAGATGTCTATGACAGCACTGCATTGACAGTGATTTGGCAAAGACACAAATGTAATACTTCACATTTTATCCAATTTTATTACAGTTTGCATGGAAATATTTATCTCTCTAATTAGCAAATTTAGAAAAACACATCTCCCCTTTTAAAAAAATAAAATAAACATGTTCATCTATTGACTCTCCTTATATTTATTTGTGTATGTTTGACTTCCCTTGTAGCTCATTTGCTGATTTCCAGCTGTGGATCGTCCTCAGGTAAATTAGCTAATGCTCTAGGAGCTTCTAGAATAAACACAGAGTAGCCTCTTCTAATATTCTGGGTAAGAGCAGGCAGGCCAAAAAACTTAAAATGCCTTTAAGTAAACAGTAAGGTAGGCAAGCTGAGAGAAGCTCCTTTAATCATACAGAGAATCATATTCAACATAGTGGCCTGTGGGTCTGCAGGGATTGTTTTTTAGAAATCAGGTCATATGCCATTTCATTTTTCTTCATTATTATTAATAGTGTTTATAGTGTTTTTTCTTTGCTTTTAATTTAAGTTTTTCCTTGTCTGTATTGTCGTTTTCTGAATAATGGAGCCATGGTTCTATGCCAGTGGATAAAACATGCAGAAGACATCACCTGTTATGTTATTTGTTTGGCTTTTATCCCTTGAAAGCTTGAGGAATCCACATAATCCACGTCAGCAGGAAAGTGCCACTATCTGTACTTTACACTCACGGAATTCAGTCCAGAGAGCACAACCAGGCCACGTGTAGACAGAGGCGCCTACCAACCCTTTCCCCACCAGAAGCAGGAAGCAAGGGCTCACAGAAGCAGGAAGCAAGTTTGAAGTTTAAGGTCCAGAAGACACCAGTATGGTATTATACAGTCTGGGAAAATAAAATATTTTTTTTAAGGTGGGCTTTTCAGTGGTCTAAATAACTGTGACCTAACCTGACATCCTTTCCAACCACTGGGAATTTAACAGCTGGCTTCACTGGGAGAAGGCTAATTTAGGGACTTTGAAAACTTTTGATTTTTTAGCAGTACCTAGGAGATCTCTGGGTGAGCTTGATGTCCCAGATTTCTCCTTGTTTCTTTGTTATTTGAAAATTGCATCTGTAAAACGCATTTGTGCCAACTCTCTCCACCTCGCTTTAGTGAAAGCTTAAATCCATCAATCTGATGCTAGGGTTGTTTTAAAAAGCTTTGGTTAAGTACAGCTGAAGAACCCTCTATACTCATTCTTACTTGCTTTGTCTGCCTCATAAACAGTAATCTCTGCAGCCTGCCAAGTTCATTTGCTGTTTACCAGCCCAAAAACTGGTTGGACGAGGACCTCAATCAATGATCAAAAGGCAGTGCTAAAATAAAAAGCAGCAATCAATTAAATGAAACAGTATTTAGACACCGTTTCTGTTGGGGCCAGTATAATAATATTTTTTTCTTGGAATGAATGCTATATGCTCCTGAAGAGGTTCAGTCGACTGAGGTTGTTTATGCCTGGAAGTTCATTCTGGAAAACTCTGCATGCCTCTTTTCCAAAGTAAAGAGGTCACAATACAGTAGAAGGTTTTTCTTTTTTTTTTTTTTTTTTTTTTTTTTTTTTTAATGAGTGGCCTAAGTCTGTGTGTTCCAGAAGTGATAGAGTTAAAGCAGAAAAGACAAACCACCTCAGTAAGCCACACTGACATTTTTACATGCTCAGTGCTGCAACAAATGCCAGGTTTGCTTTTTTTTTTTTTTTTTTAAATCTTTTTCTTAAAGGCAAAAATGCTGTGACATTTACATTAAAATTAGTCAGTTAATGAAGCTTAAATCAATTCTGATTCAAGCTCAGAAATTTTAGCAGTGATGTAACTGAATCTAAGACAACACCAAAAAGTTAGT